CTTTCCTTTCCGTCGCTGGGCGCCATCAGGTGAGGGCCGATCCGGGCGCGGCCTTTCCCTAAATCCGTGCCCATCCCGGGATCCGAGCGCCCATCCGCCTGTCCCGCCGCCGCGCCCGCCCGGCTCCGGGTGGGATGGGGCTGCTTCTGCGGGCGCGGTGCCTCTGGGAGGCCGGTGGAGGAGGGCCCGCGGGCTGCGCCTCGGTGGGGCGGGGAGGGGAGCGGGGCACCCAGCGTGGCCCTGGCGCGCCAGAGCGGGTGCAGGTCCGTGACAGACGGCGCGCCCTGGTTTGCTCCGGGTTTGCGGCTCGTTCGTGGGGATTTTTGTGCCATTAGGCCGTGAAAAGATGGAGGGCTGGGGATGGGAATGGATGAGCATGGATGAGCTATAGCTAGGCAGGTTTAAACAAGAGGGGTATTCAAAATCACACACGAACTGTTCTTGGCGTATTTTAAAATGTAAATAAAGTGACCTGCGTGTATGTGATGGTGAGTTCAGGTACGCGTGCTGATTGCTGCAGATATATAAGGCAGCAGAGGTTTTAAGGAAAACAGCAGTAAACATGACTGAAAAATAAATTAATATTTGATTTTTTTTTAGATGCTTTAAACTTTTAAGACATATTCAACTCAGAAGAGAGTGTTTGTAGTAATCATTGTTTCTTAAGGATAAAATTTGACCTGTAGGAATTTTGTGTTGAGCCCTTGCTCTGCAGAAGTCAATACAAACTAGCTCCAATATGGTGCTCAGCAGAAACGATTTTTAAAAACAACTTAAAAAATCCACAGAGCATCTATGGAGCAAAACACAAATGTCAGCAGCAGTAGGACACTGAGCATTGACACTTCTTTTTTAGTGTGACACGGTCAGTATGCCCCATTTTACTTGAAGCCCAGTTTCAGCGGATGTGGAGGAAGGCCTGCTGAGATGTAGGAGACACCATGTGAATTGCTCTTGAGGAATCAAAAGTCCCAATCCAGTTCATTTCTTAAGCCATTGTTAAACTTACACTAATAAAACTGTTAAGCTTTCACTTAGAAGTAAAACCATACTGAAGTAACAATAAAGGCCACGCTCCTCAATCATGTAGCTCTTGATAGATTTGTATCTAAAATTTGTTTCAGGCGTTAGCTGTTGGGTTTGGCAGTATCAGACATAACACATCTGAAAATTTCTCAGTTGAGGAGTTTAGCACTTCAGAATAAATAAAAAGGAAGAAAGTTGCTGGGAATAGTGACTGCAGGGTATCATGTTAAAGGCTGCCAGCTGTGATCTGTGTTCCCAGATGTGTCAGTGGTACAGGGAAGCGCGAGAGCTCCCTGTCTTTCAGTGCTGCCACTGTTGGAAGATGTTCAAACTGGGAATTGTATTCACTGTTCTCACTGACCTCTCCATCCAGCAGGTAGACAGACATGGGTGCCTACAAGTACATCCAGGAGCTGTGGAGGAAGAAGCAGTCGGACGTGATGCGGTTCCTGCTGCGTGTGCGCTGCTGGCAGTACCGCCAGCTGTCAGCCTTGCACCGGGCCCCGCGCCCCACGCGGCCGGACAAAGCCCGCAGGCTGGGATACAAGGCCAAGCAAGGTAATGGCATGGACAGGTGAAGTCCGTGTGCCACATGATGCAGTGACATTGACTTCCTTCAGTGACAGCAGAATAACAAAATCTGAAACTGAAGTGTCCCGCAATAAACTGAAGTTTTCTGTAGGAAATGAACAGAATATTGTAAATGTCTTCAGTTGGTAGCAGTGTCCGCAGCACAGCCTAAAACTTTAGCTTCACTTAATTTTGCATCTATGCCTTCTGTTGCCATTCTGGCAGGTAAAGATCAAGTGGGCTTTGGCCTCAATTTTTGTTCTTGTGCAATGTTAGTGCCACAGAATTGAGCTGGGTTTTTAGTATCCTACGTTTGGGGGATGTCCTTTCTCTGACCAAGCTTTGCCATCTGTTACTTCAGCTCTTTTCAGGTGACTGAACTGTGACCTTCTAGCACCTTGAAAAGAACTACAAGAGATCTGAGTAGAGACTTGAACAAGAGCATGTAGTGACAGGACAAGGGGGAATGGCTTCAAACAGAAAGATTAGATTTAGATTAGATATTAGGAAGAAACTTCACTGTGAGGGTGGTGAGGCACAGGAACAGATTGCCCAGATGAGTTGTGAATACCTCATCCATGGCAGTGTCCAAGGCTAGGTTGGATGGAGATCTGAGCAATCTGGTCTGGTAGAAGGTGTGCCTGTCCATGGCAGG